AGAAGTGCCAGAAGGAGAAGAGAGAGAGCAAGAAATTGAAAACCTGTTTTAAAAAATAATGACAGAAAACTTCTCTGACTTGGTGAAGGAAACAGACATACCAGTCCAGGAAGCACAGAGAGTCCCAAAAAAGATGAATCCAAAGAGGCCAACACCAAAACATATCATCATCAAAATGCAAAAGGTTCAAGACAAAGAGAGAATCTTAAAAGCAGCAAGAGAAAAGCAGTTAGTTACCTACAAGGGAGTTCCCATAAGACTGTCAGCTAATTTCTCAATAAAAACTTTGCAAGACAGAAGGAAGTGGCAAGAAATATGTAAAGTGATGAAAAGCAAGGACCTACAACCAAGATTACTCTATCCTACAAAGCTGTCATTTAGAATCACTGGACATATTAAAAACTTCCCAGACAAGGAAAAGCTAAAGGAGTTCATCACCACCAAACCAGAATTACATGAAATGTTAAAGGATCTTCTATAAGAAGAAGAAAAAAAATATATGTGAACAATAAAATAACAATAAATATATAAGTAAACGAATCTAAAAAGACAAAAAATAAATAAAGCGGAAGGGAAACAGACTCATAGATACAGAGAACATTTTGACAGTTGCCAGATGGGAGGGGGTGGGGGAAGGGGTGAAGAAAGTGAAGGGATTTAGAAGTACAAATTGGCTGTTACAGAACAGTCATGGGGATGTAAAGCACGGCGGAGAGAATATAGTCAAAAAAATTCTAATAACTATGTATGGTGTCAGATAGATGTGAGATTTATCAGGATGATTACTTAGTAAGCTATATAATGTCTAATTATTATGCTGCACACATGAAATTAATATAATATTGTATGCCAACTGTAATGAAAAATAATTTTTTAGAAAGAAAATAAATTCTTTTTAAAATATGTTTTTATTGATTTTCTAGAGAAAGAGGAAGGGAGAGAGAGAAACATCAATGAGCTGCCTCCCGCATGCCCCCTACTGGGGATCGAGCCCACAACCCGGGCATGTGCCCTGACCGGGAATTGAACTGGGACCTCTTAGTCCATGGGATGACGCTCAGTCCACTGAGCCACAGCGGCTGGGCAGAAAGAAAAGAAATTCTGACACAGGCTACAGTGTGGATGAACCTTGAGGACATGAACTAAGCCAGACACAAAAGGACAAATACTGAGTAATTCCACTTGTATAAGGAACCCAGAGTAGCGAAATGCACAGCGAGGAGAACGGGGGCGCGGTGGGCCGAGGGACAGAGGGACGGGAGTTGGTTTCAGTGGGGAGTCCGGCCTTCAGGATAAGAACGCTCGAGCGGTGGGGGTGGTCATGGCTGCACACTGAATGTGCCAGTGCCACTGACCTGTGCACCTGGAATCGGCTAAGATGGTCATTGTTACCTGTTTTTACTGCAATACAAAAATTGGAAGAAAAACAAATAATGGCACGGTGTCAGTCAATTCAGTGTTAAAGGTAAGCCACTGTATGCCTCCTAGAACAGAAAAGTTTACTAAGGAAAAAATGGGCCAGCCCTGGCCGGTTTGGCTCAGCGGTTAGAGCATCGGCCTGCGGTCCAGAGAGACCCGGGTTCGGTTCCCGCTAAGGGCACGTACCTCGGTTGCAGTTTGTCCCCGGCCCTGGTCGGTTGTGTGGGTGGCAGCCACTCGATGTGTCCCTTTCACGTCGATGTTTCTCTCTCTCTCTCTGTTCCTCTCTCTCCCTCCCACTCTACCTGAACAAAAAATGGAAAAATGTCCTCGGGTGAGGATAAAAAAAAAAAAAAAATGGGCCAATGGTCTGTAGTGTACTTAATACTAATGTACTAATGTAATTTCTTAGTTTTGACATGACTACATAAAATGTTAACATTAGGGAAACTAGGTATAAGGTAGACTAGGTCTCTACCACCTTTGCAAGGTTTCTCTAAATCTAACATTATTCCAAAATAAGTTTATTTTAAAATTAGCTTTAAAAAGCAAGCGACAACTTAAAAAAGCCAGAATTCCTATGTAGAAGACAGGCAACGCAAACACATTAGCCATCAGCAGTGACCGAGCAGCAGCATGGAGCCCGCCCAGTGGCGTGGGCTCTGCCTCCCGGGGCTGCTCACGGCTGCCTCGCTTTCCCCGGCCAGACCGCAGGACGGCCGTCCAGTCCCACAGAGCAGTACCAGCTCCTCACGGGTCAGCGTGCCTTGTCCACTTAGACCACGAGCAAATGGTTTATTGTGGATACAGTGTAAACTTCTTTCTGCCAATTCTTGTTTTTTTTATCTTTGATTAAGTTGGTTGTTGGTAGGACATATAAGGCAATATCATTCTTTTTTTTTATCCTCACCCGAGGACATTTTTTCATTTTTCGTTTAGATAGAGTGGGAGGGAGAGAGAAAGAGAGAAACATCGATGTGAAAGGGACACATCAACTGGTTGCCACCTGCACAACCCAACCAGGGCCGGGGACAAACTGCAACCGAGGTACGTGCCCTTAGCGAGAACCGAACCCAGGTCTCTCTGGACTGCAGGCCAACGCTCTAACCGCTGAGCCAAACCGGCCAGGGCTTCTTTTTTCTCTTTTTTTCGGCACTATCATTCTTAACAGCCATGTTGACACGTCCAGCCCACCACTGGAGAACCAAGACCAGGAAGCCTTGTTGGACAGGAAATGCCGGACACCAGGAATCAACCCATATGAGGAACCAAAACTGCCAAAGAAGCACCCGATCACACATCCGCATTCCTGTTGACCCAAACCCATTAACCAAACTCATCAAGTTCCCCAAACTCACCGACAACAAAAGCTTCCCGCCAGTGGACGCATATAAGGACGAGACTCAGCTCCTAGGGGCTGCCGTCATTGACCCAGCACCCCGTGGCTCGGTGCTGGTAGCCCTTCCCTTTGGGCATCCCCATCCCCACCCCGTTCCTTAACCGAACCCAACTCTTCCTTACTCGCCATGTGGGACTGCTACTTAGCCTGCCTTGAACCACAGCGCGGCCTCGGACCTCTGCGCTGAGCGCTGCGGTCTCTCGGGCAGCGGCGCACAGCTCGGCCGACAGCCCCGCAGCCCCGCTTCAGCTGCCGCCTGGGTGCCCTGAGCACGCGTCTCCTTGGGAGTATGAGGCCCCACGCAAAGGTGGTGGGACACTTCAGCACGGGACACCCGTGTTCAGTGTGCTGCATTCCAAGTGTATTTAAATACTATGCTCAGAACAAAGTGAAAACAAAGCTTTACTCAGAAAAACGACATGAAACAATTAAGTTTTATTTCCCAGCCCAACCATGTGAAAACTGAGGACTTAGAGAAGTGTAGAAAATACACTGTCGCTTTTAACTACCCTGCACAAGGGAGAAATGACTAAGGGCATTGTCTCTCCTTCCCTTCTCTTCCCTTCCCTTCCCTGGGGTCAGTGGTCTGAGCACAGACTTCCAGGTGCGAGGGGCTCGGACTCACAGGTGCGGCTTGCATTTCCTTTGTCCACGACCGGAGGTCAAATAGTTAGCCTGCTTTGACCCAAATAAAGGGCTTAATTTCTCTAGAAAACCTGAACTTGATATGAAGCACTTACACAAGGAATGGTGTCGACAAGAAGGCAGCTTTATTGTACTCTTAGGGGGAAATAAATTAAAAGCCTTTGACATTTAGTGAGCAACAGCACCATCTAGTGAAACGGTGGCACGCCACCAAACTGCTAAGACCAGCTATGAAATGTGTGCGAATTTGCTGGTGCAAATTTCCACCACCAAATGTCGCTTTTGATAAGCTGGTCTTCAGAGAACCTCCGGTTGTATGAGATAATTTTTACCTTTGAAATGTATAAATGTATATATGTGCTTTCTCTTCTGTTCTGAGTAAAGAATGAGTTTTGTTTTGTTTGGGGGCAACCCGCCTCTGAACATCCGTCGCTCTTGTTCAATAGCAACCCCTGATTATGACCAACAGTTCATGAAGAAGCAAACTCCACTGTACAAGAACTACATTGTTGACTCATTACCTCCTCCCATTTTTACAATCTAGGGTGCTAAGTATTTGCACTTCACTTCTTTGAATTCCTGGAAAAAAAGCATTAGAATGCTTAATTCTGCATAACAATTCTGCATAAATCGTATAACCCAACTCTTACTATGACTACACAATACCAGTGGAAGATGCTGTGTGAGCATGTGGGGTGCTGTTCTTGGTGGGTAACAAAGTGATTCTTCTCAAGGTGCTAACTGTCCTTACACCCAGGTGTTGCAGTAAATGTGTTGATTTGGTGACTTCTATGAGCATATAAATGGGGATATTTAATGAAACTCCTGGCTGAAAAAAGAAAGTTGTAAGAATAAGGTATGGTTTATAACAGCAATCTCCAATCGGCACCTGCAGTTACCGAGACCGCAGATTCGGCTGGAGGGCTCCGGTCTGGACGTCCGCCAGGGCTGTGGACCGGCAGGGAGTCCTGCGCGGCACTCTGCGTGTGGCTGGGCACCCGGACTCCAGGACGCACAGGTCTGACAGCCTTCAGCAACCCTCGTCTTGGCAGACAAGGGATTCAGCTAAGGGTTTCAGGAGGAACCCGCTCTGGGAAAGAGGTACGCGAGTGTGGAATAAGAGGCTGAATTAAACATCCTTAGGTGGGATTTTTTTGGTAGACATAACCGGATGTTTCAGTTCTGAGAACCTGAGATGGTCCAGAAGCACAGTTCTGAGTGGAGGACGTCAGCTGCCCACGCAGGGCTCTGTCCCCAAAGCAACACGGCCTGGGGCGGCGGTCCCTGGAGCACTGGATCCCAATGAGGCCCGCCCGAGGGCTGGTCTGGACCGCCCGCGCCCAATCCAGCGCGCCCTGCGCCGCGCCCCGCCCCGCAGCCTTCCTTCACCACACGCCCAGGTCCGCCCAGGTCCGCCCAGGTCCGCCCAGGTCCGCCCAGGTCCGCTGCATCATGGGCGCCACTGAGTGGGCGGCCCTGAAGCCAAAGCCATGCGAGCTGCTAGGGGCCTCACATGAACTCAAACCTGATGCCACAGTCATCTCCAAAAAAGTTTATTAGCATGATTAAAAACATTTTCTTGAATAATGACAGAAAGAATGTCTAAACATGAGAGTACCAGTGGCTATACCTCATAACCAGCATTTGCAACGGAATGGACACCTTTATTGCAATCTTCATTTCATTAGAAACAACCCGTGCTGACTGCTGCCACGTGAAGTGATGACTATTGCTTGGACGGGGAGGAGTCCCCGCTGCAATTAAGTATAAAAAATATCTTCCATAATTGGAGTAAGACCTGCATTATTGAGTGAGAGAAGAGCTGATAAAAATCCTCAAAGAGTTGGGTTCTTGTTTTTTTTTAAAAAAAAACATTCCTTTCACACACTACAAAGAAATAATTAGTATTTTGGCTTTTTAAATTCCTACATGATATTTAGCACGACAGTCCCCAGGCTCCTCCGGAGGGACACTCGGGCAGGCTCTGAAGACTGCGGCCCTCGGTTACACGGGTCTGAGAACAAAGACAGCGTCGTCCAGGACGTAGTAGTCGTTGTACATGTCCCCCTCGCACAGGTACGGCAGTCTGGTAAGAGCCTCGATGGCAAAGCCCGCTTTTCTGAACACTTCGGGCAGACTGTTCACTTGTTCTTCCCAGTTCTGCCCCTTGATTTCCAGAATTTCTGATGGTTTCTCCCACTTGCCACCTACTAAAACAAACAGAAACACTGAGTTAAATTCCTGAGCAAACAAGCGGTCTGAAGAGGCGGGACGAGCAGTCCGAGCGCTGGCCTCGCTGGCTCACCGGGACCCGAGGTGGCTGCAGACACCAGGCAGGCTCCGAGGGGCCGAGGGAGCCGCACCTGGCTCCTGGGTGTCCGCACACACAGGTCATGGTCTATCTGGACCCAGAGCTCGTTAAGTACGGGAGCAACACATGACATTTGAAAGAGAGTTTCAGGTTACTGAAAAAAAAATACTACTGATGCAGTAAATTTATGCAACATATTAATGAAAGAGGTTATGAGGCTGAAAATAAAACCAGGTTAATGCAGAATTTCAATGTATAAAAATAGGTAATCTGCGTGTTTTTCAAGGGCAGCTGATCCACTCCTAACTTTTCAGAACAATTTCATAAGTAAAGCCCCAGGATCACAGGCAGGCAGAACCAGAGTGGCTGAGTCACCCCCATTCCTTGCGACAGTGACTGAAGCCTGGGTCGGTCATTTCCACATCTGTGGGTATCACACGGGGTTGGGGGTAGGTAGTGATAAGGTCTTCAAGTTCACATACACATCAAGATTGATTAAACACACACACATACACACACACACACACAATGGTACAAATAAATTCCGGGTGCTTTTAGGTAACATGGTGACATAAATAAATACACATGTATTGGAAGTGTTACTAAGCTCATAGCCATCAGGTGCCAGAGAGCAAACACTGCAGTGGGAGCAGCCCTGCCCGGAGGCCCAGCACCCCCAGCGCCGACCCGTCTGGCATCACGGTGGCGGCAAGCCTGGGACAGCTTTCCCGACTTCCCTGCAATTGGGCGGGGCACACGGCCTGCGCTCACACACTCACTGGCCCTGGCACGAAGGCGGCCCAGGAGCGGGCTGCAGCTCCCTCGGGGGCAGAGCAGGGGCGCGGGCGAGGCTGAGCTGGCGCCAAGCTGCACTAGTGAGTGGTCCACCCTGCGCGGCCTGGCCCTGGCGGGGCGGGGCGGGCTCACGTCAGTCTAAGAGGGTGCCTTGGGACACGAGAGTGCTGCAACCCCCACACTCTCCAGTCCTCCCAGTGACTGTGACCCCTCCCTCCTTTCCATAAATTCCCTCTCTTCAGTCAGCAGAGTCCGTTTCTGCTGCTGACACAGAACCTGAGGGCGGGGCGCGGGCCTGGGGAGCATGGGATGGCAGGTCCGCACAGCTGTTCCGGGGCAACTGGACAGGGGTCACCCAAAATGGCACAACCACTCAACCACACACAGCTTATGTTTTCATTACACTGTGATGCTTGTATTGTTCACTAATCTATTTCCTGCTTCAACTTCCAGCAGTCACCGCCCGGGACAGCGATGGACTGCTGGGGACTTAAAGGCCGGGTCGCTGTGAACAACACTGCCTCCGGGGTACAACAAATCAGTCTCGCTCGACTGTGGAAGGCCTGCGCGGCTTTGTGAAAGCCAGGAAAATGGATCATGTGAACATTTAGAAATCGTCTCTAGGCTAAAATCTCAACTTTAAATGGTGAAACCACATTACAAACAATATTTACACAATTTCAAAAGGTTCCTGATTACGGTTCCTGAATATGAGTTCCTCTCTTCAGTTCTTCCTTTCTAAAGGGAAGAGGGGGAGCCACCTCTTCACATACACGCTCCCAGCCCGCCCCACACAGAGATGGAGACGGCGCACGCGGCCACGCTCGCCCTCCGCCTGGGACTCAGTCTGATGCTGTGTTATGGCGGTAAGTTGCTGTTCTCTCCTCCACTTTATTTCAGTCAATCACTGTTTTCAGACTAATGCATTTATATTGTAGGCCCCTATAGGTTAATTTTTAAATGTATAGCATTACGGAAATTGTCTCAAGTGGCAAGTTCCTTCTTTCCCCAGGGAAATGGGTGAATAAAGAATAGCCGAGAAAGCTTCATACTAACATTTAAAAATTCCCTTTGCTATTATGCCGCGTCACAGAGACAGCACCTCACAACGGGTGGAACAGCCCTGAACCCCATGTGCCATCATCATCGGCTCGGTTCCCACTCAGTGAGCTCCCAAACTCACTGGGCATGTAGGAGGCACTGAACAATACTCGGGTATTTTCAAAGAGCAATGTTTCTGAAAAGCTAAATTTCTGTAAGTTAGAGAGGATTTATCCAGAGGAGAAAAATGGCCAGGGCTCCTTTGCAGAGAATAGCCATCCTGTAACACATCCACTTTTTAATTCCGCCTGCATCTGTTTTTCATCCGTGAAAGAAAGGTGTCTCCCACCTCACAGGTCGAATGACCTCATCGTAGGTCTAAGTAAATCTAATGACCTCAGCTCTGCCCACAAAGTTGGGGTCACAGGGCAGATAAAGCAGCAAAATCTCTTAAAATTAACTTTTTTCATCTGTTAAAAAATACATAAAAATGTTAACACTGGTTATTTTGGGTGAAAGAACTATGGGTGATTCTCGCTCATCCTTTCGGTAATATTCTATTTTTCACTATTAAGTACACATTACGTTTATAAACTTTTAACTAGTTATCACTTTGAAGAGTCCTGATCTCTGGACGCAGCAGATCGCAGCCTGGACCTGCCCTAAAGCCCCGAGGAGGAAGGAGCGGGTGGGAGGAGGGGTGGTGCTAGCCAGGCACACTTCCTTCCCCATGTTTGAAACTGTCCATAAGAAGCTTTTTTCAATGTCGAAAATTAGTTTTTGACTTGTTTTCTAGTTTTGTTTTTTCTTTCTTTTTTTTCTTTTTTTTTGATATTTTGTTCAGATAGAGTGGGAGAGAGAGAGAGAAACATCGATGTGAAAGGGACACATCGAGTGGTTGCCACCCTCACAACCCAATCAGGGCCGGGGACAAACTGCAACCGAGGTACATGCCCTTAGCGGGAACCGAACCCGGGTCTCTCTGGACCGCAGGCCGACGCTCCAACCGCTGAGCCAAGCCGGCCAGGGCTCTAGTTTTGTTTTTAGAAACAGTAGTCGCCTGGCCATGTAGCTCAGTTGGTTGGAGCACCGTCCCATTGCGGCCAGGCTGTGGGCTTGACCTCAGGTGAGAGCACACACAGGAAGTAACCAACGGCCTGGGCCCGTGAGGCTTCAGTGGACTGAGTGTCGGCCCACGGACTGAGAGGTCCCGGTTCAATTCCCGGTCAGGACACATGCCTGGGTTGAAGGTTCAATCCCCAACAGGGGGTGTGCAGGAGGCAGCCAATCGATGTTTCTCTCTCACCGATGTTTCTCTCTCTCTAAAAAATCAATAAACACATATTTCTAAAAAAGTAACCAATGAATGCATCAATAAGTGGAACAAATCAATGTTCCTCTCTCTCAAATAAATACATTTTTAAAGAATAAAAAATAGGTTACAGATTTATTAGATGTCGCACCAATGATAATAATAATAAACAGTAAAGTGCCCTTTTTCATTCCCTCCACCAAGGAGATAAGCTCTCAGCCTTTTCAGAGGGCACTGCTTCAAACAAACCCCACGAGCCGAGCGCGTGTAGAGAAGCGCCCAGGCTGAGCTGTGGCGTCTGTGCCCACTTCCCTCGCTGCCCAGCCGGTGCAGGGAACAGGCTTCCTCGCAAGGCTGAACCCTGCCTGGGCTGCTCCTGCTCAGACTCACTGTGCAGCCCTGGGGACCAGGCAGAGACAGACAACTTCAGAGCTGCAAATACTTCTTTTAACCCGGGCATTCGTTGTCCAAGTGGTAAAAGCCAGTTTCTCTTGCCCGGGCCGTGCGGTTAAAGCACTGGCCACAGACCAAAGAGTTGAGGGTTCAAGGGCACATACCTGGGTTGCAGGTTCAATCCCTGGCACAGTCGGGGCACATGCAAGAGGCAACCAATCGATGTGTGTCTCTCCCCTGTTTCTCTCCCTCCCTTCTACTCTCTAAAAATCAATGGGAAAAATATCCTCGGGGAGCATCAACAACCACCAGAAGCCAGTTTCTCTTTTAAGAACGCCACGAGACACCGACTTGGAACTGGACACTGCTGGCTAAAACTCTCTTACTTTCTGATGGACCCCATTCCAGTTCCAGCTTCCAAGGTGCACTGGCTGCATGCCGCAAGTGTTCCCCGATTCTGGGGGGGTCTGGGTAGGAGGCGGCGCTCGGTTCCTGGGACTCAGCAGCGAACCCAGAGCCCTGGGCAGACCTCCTGGTGCTCAACCCTGTCACGTGGTTCACGCCTGAGTCCCTGGAAAGCCAGCGAGCACAGACCTGCGTGTGGTGCAAAGCCGCCCAGAGCACCGCGTCAGAACAGCCGGGCCCCTTCCAGCTCACGCAGACATACGCAGGACCATTTGGAAACACAGCACCAGGTAGAAGTCAGACTGAAACCCGGCAAACAAAACAAAGCCTCTAGTGCTCCCCCACCAGCACTACTCTAGGCCGAGCCTCCCTTGCTCTGGAAGGGTTCAGAGCAGAACTTCCCTTTGCAACCAGTCTAGGGTAAGGAGGTCAAGGCAGGGTCAACCTGCACGGTGTGGGAAGCAGCACCACGTGGTGGACAGGCTCCCTGAGGGTCCAGTCCCAGCCCTGCTCACTCCCTGCTGGGACCTCCACAGTGTCTCTAAAATGGGTGCATGACATGGCGGCAGCAGGGACGGTGGTGGCAGCAGCAGAAATACCTGCCTTCCCTTAAATACTTCCCATGGGTAGGCACCTAAATCCACCTTCTGCATGGATGGTCTCACTGAAGCGCCCCGCTAGCCCCACAAGGTGAGAATATTACCCCCATTCTGCTGGGAGTAAGCCGACACAGACCACAGAGCTGGCAGAGCCAGGATCCCAACTTAGCTCTGTGCCCTTCATCACAATCCTGTTCCTCAAAGCAGTGACCAAGTGCCAGGGAGAAATCAGATTTGCTTGGCCAGGGCATGGCAGGCTCGAAAGACCTCCACAGCCCCCAAGCCAGGGCAGCATTCCCCAGGTGCACATCTCGCCCTGTATGATGTTTCCCATAGGGACGGCAGTCTCACAAAGGACCACTGTGAACTGCCACGAATTCCTAGCAATCCCAACCCCCAGGCAAACCCCAATACCTGCTGCTCGTGTGGCTCCATCGGGGCAGGGACAGGTGCAGCAGGGCTCTGACCTGGGGCCACACTGCACCTGGCAGCCTGGGAGGGGCTCTGACCTGGGGCCACACTGCACCTGGCAGCCTGGGAGGGGCTCTGACCTGGGGCCACACTGCACCTGGCAGCCTGGGAGGGGCTCTGACCTGGGGCCACACTGCACACGGCAGCCTGGGAGGGGCTCTGACCTGGGGCCACACTGCACACGGCAGCCTGGGAGGGGCTCTGACCTGGGGCCACACTGCACACGGCAGCCTGGGAGGCCAGGCCTGAGGTCCCAGGGAAGCTTGTCAATCAAGCCACTGAGCATGAACACAGGGACCCTGCACTCTGACACTGGACCTGCAGCCACCTCTGCTCCCAGGGCTGACCGCACTGGGACTTCTCTGGGGCTGTATCCAAGTAACCAGAAGTCACTGTGAACCAGTAGGCCAGGGTCAAGAAACATGGGGAGTCAGGAACAGTGAGGCCCAGTGGCACAGTGAGGCCCAGTGGCACCTTATTCCCATAGTCCTGTTTCCACTGGGAGTGAGTAAGAAAGCCGGGTTCCCTCGCCCACAAACGTCCGCGAGATGACGCACAGGCTGTCTCCCTCCCACAGGTGCTGCGGGAGACTGCACCGTCTCCGTCTCTCAGACGCCTGTCCTCGAAGTAGACTACACGCAAGGGGCTGTGACCCTGCTCTGCTCCTTCTCCATGGTGGGGTGCCCTCCCAAGACGCCCCAGAGCCTGTGGTTTCGCTACAGAGCCCACCAGTCGGAGACCCTCTGCTTGGACGGGTGCACGAGCGAGGCCGACAAATTCACAGTGAGGAAGGCCCTGGAACAAAGCCAGGTCTCCCTCACAGTCAACAGGATGACACCCAACGACAGCGCCATCTACATCTGCGGAATAGCCGTGCCCAGCTCAGAAGACCCAAGGGCCAAGCAGACGGGAGCAGGGACCGTGCTGGTGGTGAGAGGTCAGTGGGTCGTGCTGTGTCCCGGTACCCCTCATTTGCACAGTCCTTTAAACACATGGCACGCCTCACACAGAGAACGACAGACTCTGCAGACCTGACACCCAGCCAGCGGAGGGCCATAACCCGAGCACAAACTGACACGCAGCTGGGTTAGAAAACCACTGTGACCCTTCTCCTGCCTCCACACAGTCAGGGGGTGTCAGGTGCTGCGCTCTCTCCCCACGTCCAGGCGTTCCTGGGGAGGGTGACTTTTCTGTCTGTTTTGCTGAGTGGTGTGTAAGGTGCCACGTGATGGTAACATCAGCTTTCTCAGGAGCTGGGCTGGTACCACACCATCCAGGACAGAGCCCTGGAGGAACGGAGCGATCTATCAACTGGACCCAGAAAAGCACGCGGAGGGAAAAGCCACAGGGCTGTCCCTGACCCTGCCGTTCTGTGGCTTCTTGAGATGTGTTAAACCTGTGACAATTTCCTCATTCAAGTGAGGACACTGAAGCTAGCTGGCTAACCCCTACATATTGAGAAATTAAATTTTAAATTTTCAGGAATAAAGCTTCACATGGTTCTGAGGAAAGGAAGAGAAGGGCAGTAACTCTGGACGTTCTCACCTCTCCCTTTAAAATGCCTCAGTGGCTAGCACTGAGTCCCCGAGACGGGCGCAGGGTCGCCCGGCCCCTCACACGGCTCTGGGGGCGGGCGATCCCCTGCGCTGCGACCCCAGCTTTCAATTACCAGCCTGTTCTCACAGGCTTTGACTGGCCCACTGCCATGTGACCTTATTTAATTCTCGCCTGTAAAATAAATTATAAATGAATTAATATACATAAAGCACATTTTTTTTTAATCCTCACCTGAGGACACGTTTCCATTGTTTATTCAGATTGAGAGGGAGGGAGAGAGAGAGAGAGAGAGAAAAACATCGATGTGAAGGGACACATCGAGTGGCTGCCACCCACACGACCAACCAGGGCCGGGGACAAACTGCAACCGAGGTACATGCCCTTAGCGGGAACCGAACCCGGGTCTCTCAGGACTGCTGTGCAAAACCGGCCAGGGCCATAAAGCACTTTGGATGGTGCCTGGCTTACAGCAAGTCCTCAACAGGTGTTAGCTACAGACATGCGAGCAAACACAGTCCTGAGATTCGTGCCGCTCACCGCATCGGTCTTCTGCAAGAACGCCCGCCAAAGCAACGCCGCTGCTGTGAAGAGAAGTGCCCACTCAGGAGCGGGGTGGGGATCCCCACAGACCAGTTCGCTTCCTGCCTTTCCGTAGAACTCCTAAGTTAGCACTTAAACATTTTTTAAAGGTTTTACAGATATGGTTAATTTGTTAGTTTCAGAACAAAAAGATACGTACTTGAAAAGTACCGGTTATTCAGTAAATAATTACGAATCAAATTGTATTTTGCACTTCAAAGAGCCAAGTACGTGCAGACATGGCATGTCAGCCCACCCCACCTAGAGCCCGGCACGCTTCCTGCCAGGAGGAGAGCTCAGAATATGAAGATGGATGCAATCATCCTACTTCCAAGACTTCGCCAGCAAGAAGGGGCGTGGGACAAGCTGCCTGTCGGGAGTGTGGCAGCCCTCAGGCCGCGCTGCCTGGCCGCCCCACCCCGCCGCCCTTTCAGGAACCGTGCCAGGCAGCTGTGCATCCCGACAGCTTGAGATAGCAGCATTAACACAGGAAATATCTTCACTCCATAAACACTCTTAGTGACACTGGTCATCATTTCTACCAAAAGCAATCTTAAATGCCCTTGAGAAAACTGTCTTGAAATGTTTACCTAACTTTTTAATTTTTTTTTCATTACTGATTTTAGAGAGAGAGGAAGGGAGGGGGAGAGAGAGATAGAAACATCGATGAGAGAGAACATCGACTGACCGCCTCCTACATGCTCCCCACTGGGGATCGGGCCCACAACCTGAGCATGTGACCTGACCAGGAATCGAACCAGTGACCTCCTGGTATATGGGTCGACGCTCAACCACTGAGCCACACTGGCCAAGCTGTTTACCAAACTTGTATAAAAAGTTTTTCTTGCCCTGGCTAGTTCGAGCATCAGCCCTTGGACCAACGAGTCACAGGTTCGATTCTGGTTCGTACCTCAGCTGCAGTTCGGTCCTCAGCCCTGGTCGGGTCGTGCGGGAGGCAACCAGTCCATGTGTCTCTCTCACGTCGATGTTTCTCTCTCTCCCTCTCCCTCCCTCCCACTCTATCTGAAGATAAATGGAAAAATATCCTTGGGTGAGGATTTAAAAAGAAAAAATCAAGAGACCATAAATAAATTTGTATGAACTGCCAATCAGAGTCAGCTCATGTTTCACCTCCAGCACAGAGCTTCGGTTGAACTTGAAACACATATTTACAAGGACTGTGGCTGACTCTGTTTCTGTAATTATCAAGGAGTGAGAGACCCAGGCAAGGAGCTGCAGGGCCTCCTGATCGCTGTGCTGTGTCTGCTCTCCGTCTACATTGCGGGTGTGCTCGTCGTCTTCATCATCCTCTCCAGAGTAAGTCGCACTCCCCCGCACTGGGTGTCCCGATGGCCTTGGGCAGGACCTTAAGGAAATGACTGCCCCTCCACACGTGAGCCTCGGCTCACCTAGTTCACACCTTCCTGTGCGGATGCGGGAAGCACTTCCTGCAGGAGACTGCAGAAAGCAGCATGCATTGCCACCACAGACATTACTGCTGGCCAGAGCACACAGGTTTTCTCTTTAAAACCCAGTAATACTGGAATAAGGACCCTTCTTTATAATCATCTTATATGCTATCTTTCTGCTGGGGAAGGGGTGTTAAGAATGAGCAAAAAGGGGTTAACAAAGAGATAGAAACTGTCCTAAAATATTTTTAAAATGCCTAAAGATTTTGAGAGAGAATATCTCCTGGACTTTATAAGCTATAAGAGGAAGGTCTGCGTGTATTATATTAGGATTACTATAAACCCAACAATCAACATCAGTCTGAGTTATTAATATAATGAAAGCACCTCAGAAGTAGCATGAAAAGTATTAACTCTTACTGCATAGCATTAAATATTAAGTTAGTTCAATCTTGCCCTGGCCGGTTTGGCTCAGCGGTTAGAGTGTTGGCCTGCGGTCCCGAGAGACCCGGGTTCGATTCCCGCTAAGGGCACGTACCTTGGTTGCAGTTTGTCCCCGGCCCTGGTTGGTCGTGCGGGTGGCAGCCACTCGATGTGTCCCTTTCACATCGATGTTTCTCTCTCTCTCTCTCTCTTCCTCTCTCTCCCTCCCACTCTATCTGAACAAAAAATGGAAAAATGTCCTCAGGAGAGGATTAAAAAAAAAAAGTTAGTTCAATCTTACGGTAGGGGATGTCTGCTGCAATTGTTTTGAGTACATAAAATGTCTTTTAAGACTTTCCTTTTCTCTTTGACAGTCAAAACTTAACACTCCAAGAAACAAAGAAACAGAAGATTCACAAAAGGTACAGACCAATGTTTGTAAAATATCTTTTACATTGTGGTTGGTTGTAACTATTTCAAATCTGAAACACTTAAAGAAACACAGAGATCATCATGGTAACTTTCAACCATAGCTACTGTTTCCTATTGTTGATAAACTCGATGATAATCTCAAATTATAAACTGAGCTTAAACCTGACAGTTCCCAGCTGAGAATATCAGAGTTACAGTGGGTATGGTGCTGGTGTGCTGGGGTGGGGTGGGTAAGAGCTCGGTGATGCACAGCATTTTTTTCTCATTTCCATTTACAGAAAAAGAGTGCTAGGCGTATTTTTCGGGAAATTGCTCAAGAACTTTATAATAAGAGACTCGTGGGAACAAGCCAACAACCTGTAAGTGTAAAGTATGAAAGAGATATCATGCAGATAGAAAGCATGTTTGACTAAAAAACTAAGCTGCCAACAAGCTGTCAATAATCATGGTTTCCTGTAGAAGAGTCCAAAAGAGGGCTTTCACATACAATGAATTCTTACATAAAACCTGTGTGGATAAATACAGCACAAAGGACACCCGATACAATGTAAGGAGACCAGGCTGGCACCTCGGTGACCTGGACTCTTTCAGAAGCACGGTGGACACAGGCAATGCTTTCAGTCCACACAAGGATGCTTCCGTGGGTTCAAGGCTACTCTGCACAGTATGCAGTAGTAGGCATCATACAGATGTTGCAAACACTGAGGATCAAGCCATATAGTAAACATTACTTGTTGCTAATAAGGCAGAAGTAAATTCACGGCAGAAAAGACACAGCTAATGGAAATGAAAGCTGATGTTTCTCCAGTCTCTGGGCGGGGCGGCAGGGCGAGTACCTCAACAACGCGCCTCACAGGGTCCCTTCAAAGTCCCCTGCAAATAGGGCTTTCAAACAAGACACTCTCCGTGCCAGCAGAGCAGATACTCGCTTTCTATGACACATGATCAGATGTTCAGACTTCAATTAAAATGATACAAAATAATGAACTTAATGTACTTCTAATTTCCTCTTAAACAATGGCTGAAGGGCAAATATAACAGGTTTCTGAGAAGTGTTTTTAGATCCACTTTAGAAAGAATTTCTCCCAGGAGAGAACATGGTGTAAGTTGCGCTTTCACCTGCAGTGCACACACAGGTAACACAGAGAAGCGGTCTGACCTCCTAAGAGCCACTCTGAATAATCCTAAATGCCCACCCTCTCTCTTCCTAGTGAGGCTGGGCATCTTTTTTAGCAAAGAGGCAAGAGAGGTCTGAAGACAGACTTGGAAATAAGAATGATGACATGAGCTCAGCCAGGGCTTTGACAACACATCTGAACAAGGAAATTAACTTTCAGTCCCCACATCTTACTCCAAATACAGAGAAATGGTCACTTGACCATTAAGGTTACCGGAGGGGTGCTCAGGACCCAGCATGCAAGAATGCACAGTTGCTGCCATCGTGCATCACTGGCTACTTCGTAACCTTAAGTATACTTGTTTTTTATTACTGCAGGAGAAAGACAACACTTACGAAAACCGGACAGCACTTTACAACTATGAAAGGCCATAGAAAGAGTTTAATTATCAATTAAGTCACTGAAATTTCAGAGGCTGTGGTAGTGTTAATGGACACATACCCATCAGGGCTTTAAAAACATAATCAAAGATGAATGGGAAAGACAGCTGGCCACAAGTAAGGGTGCCGGAGTACAAGGGAACCACACCAAACAAGAACGACCAAATCCTCAAACCCAGTGAAACTGCAAATACTTTCCTAACTTGCTAAAAGAATTCTAAGCTAACATTTTCCAAAAAGTCCACTTTTATACCATGCATCCTATATTTGTTTCATTCAACATATGAGGTGTGTGACGACTGTTACCCTGAAGAAGATCTGAAGTCGTACCACATGCTTTACCTTGAGTGGAGGAATTGTCTTTATGGGCTATGCAAGTCGTGGGCAATGAGACCAAGCTGGAAGGGAGGAATAAGGGAGGGAGGAAGGGAGGGAAGGAAGTATCAAAATCTGAGCAGAGGACAATCATCTCGCAGAGCACCTCAGAGCAAAATCCATCTCCTCTTTTCTGCCGTGGCAGCGGCACAGTGCGTCCTCCTGCCAGGGGTGCCGATGACGCACAGCACGCCACCCACAGACAGAGAGCCTAGCGTAGAATGCACAGTAAGGATACTGCAGCTAAAATACAGAAAACCCAGAGCAGAAGGCGGAACAGAGAACACCGCAGAACAGAGGAACACAGCAGCCTCCGGATGGCAGCACTGTGCCGAAGAGCGAGCCCAGGGAAGGAGGGGGCAACTGCAGCCACCCCAGGAGGGAGGGTCAGATCAGGGCTGACGCAGCAAGGATGCGTACGGAACCACTGCCGCCTCACCAAGAAGACAGGTTATGGACTGTTCTCTGCAAGCTACTTCAGTCCAAAATCTACTTCAAGTACCCACAACTGGAACTGACTATTAAATATGAGTCACAACCTATTGTTTTTTACTTCATTAAAGTGTTTCTTTTTAAATGATATTAAATGAAGTGTATTTTTATTTTTAAAACCCATATAGAATTTTTAAATATTTTAAGATCCCTCTGAAAATGTTTTGCATGGACGACTTAAATCTATTACTCTTCAACCTTTCTACTCACATGTCCCAGGAGACATGGAAAGAGGGGGAGCATGTAAATGCATTTTATTTGTGTGTGTATACATGTGTTGTATGTGTACTATGTGCTAAGTATGATGTATATGTGTATATATATGTGTATCTTAGACACCAAAACAGAAATTAACCACTGGCATAAAAAGTAATATACAGTTTACCATTAAATAATGCAGGGGTTGGGGCACCAACTCTCTCTCCCCTCTGAGCAGTCAAAAATACACTTATAACTTTTTTTTAAATCCTCACCCGAAGGTATTTTAACATTTACCTTGAGACAGAGAGAGAGAGTGAAACATCAATATGAGAGAGACACATCGACTGGTTGGCACCGCACAACCCCAACCAGAGCCGGGGATGAACCGCAACCGAGGTATGTGCCCTTGGCTGGAATCGAACCCGGGTCTCTTTGGTCCGTGGATTGATGCTCTAACTGCTGAGCCAAACCAGCCAGGGCTACACTTATAACTTTTAATTTCCCAAAACTTAACTACTAATAGCCTACTGTAGACCGGAAGCCTTACCCATAACATAAACAGTCAATTAATGCAGGTTTTGTATGTTATATGTATTCTTACAATAAAGTAAGGTAGGGAAAAGAAAATATTATTAAGAAAATCTTAAGAAAGAAAATACATTAATAGTAATTACTGAAAAAAATCTACAGCCCAGCCAGTGTGGCTCTGTGATTGACCACTGACCCTTGCACCAAGAGGTCACTGGTTCAATTCCCGGTCAGGGCACATACCCAAGTTGTGGGCCAAATCCCCAGTGAGGGGCGTGCAGGAGGCAGCCAATCAATGCTATCGCTCATCAATGTTTCTGTCTCTCCCTCTCCCTTTCTCTAAAATGAATTTTTAAAAAACTTTTTTTTTAAATCCACATATATGTGGACCCACACAGTTCAAACCCATGTTGTTCCAGGGTCAGCTATAATTAGAAATGCTAATATTTTCTTCCTATATCCCAAAATAAATTGTCTTGTGTACTCCTTGGGGTGCATACCCCACTTTGAGACCTCTGAGAACATCTAAACAAGATGGCAAAAAAGAATAAGCAGCATGCCCGGCCAGCGTGGCTCAGTGGACTGAGCGTCGTCCCATGGACTGAGAGGTCCCAGGTCAATTCCTGGTCAGGGCACATGCCCAGGTTGCAGGCTTGATCCCCAGTAGGGGGCATGCAGAAGGCAGCTGATCGATGTGTCTCTCTCAGGTTGATGTTTCTCTCTCCCTTCCTCTCTCTCTAAAAAAAAACAATATAAACGTATATTTTTTTAAAAAGAGTAAGCAGTAACACCACCCGGCTGAACAGAGTGTTGGACTGGATAATTTACTTGTCCTTTCTGGGAAGCATTACATTTTGGTTCTTCAGAGCTGAAAATATACTTTGCGTAACCAACTGGTGGACAATATCCCAAAGATAAATGAGTATTTCATTGAAAATAAGCCTTACCCATGACAAGCAAGGACAGTGTTTCAAAGATTGATTTTTTAAGCTGAAATTTGGAATACACTTTCCCAAAGAAAGTAGTTACATTCCCCCAGTCATATGTAAGAGTGCCTGATGTGTGTATAATATGCATTCTCTTATTGACCCATCTAGCCAACAACATTCCTTGAGCACAATACTAACACACAATCTAAGGCCTCTGCACACCACTCTTGGGTCCTGCTGAACTGCCCATCCCCACTCCACCTGTCCAGCTCTCATGCTTCTTCATATCCTGTTCCCTCTGCCTAGCAAAACGCTTCACAGAAACTAACAGCTCAAATGCCACCTACCCCGAAAAACCCACAGTACTCTGTCATATGTCTTATCAGACTATCCTGCCATTGTCTATTGACGTCTCTCCTCTGTACTGTTCTGGAAGTACGCTAAGGCCAGAAGTATATTCTTCATTTATATCTTTGTATTTGCACTGCCTAGCAATGCCTGGTACGTAGCAGGCTCTCCAATGTCGTTATATAAATGCAACTGAACAATGTTTCTCTAGAAAAATATTTTCAGCGTTCAACTGAGATATGAAGCACATTCACCGCCTCGCCACGGACCCCACACCACTCTCCGTAAGGACTGTTGGCTGAACCCTACAGTATTAATATTCCTGCTATCTGAGCATCCAGAACACTCACTGGAAAGGATTAAGCTGTAGTTTCTGTTCGGATTGTTTCCCATGCCAGTGAAAACAGAGTAATACTGGACGAACTACGGAGGGAGGCAGAGCCGTGGGGTAGCGTCTGCACACCCTGCGAGGGCACTTCAACCACACCCGATACAGCACCGGGCTGCAAGGGAGTCCCCTCCTCTGAGGGAGGCAGGAGAGCCTCGGCTGACCGGCACAGCAGTAAGCCTCCGTGGCGTCAAGGCGCGTCACTGACGGAGACTGCAAATTTTGAGCCAAAGTTAAAAGCAGAACCAAGACATCAGTTATTGTTGTTAAAGGAGTTTTTTCAGGCAGATCTAAAGGACACTGAAATATTCCAAACTGAAGAACCTGACCAAACATGACCCATGGAGCACAAATACAAATGAAGTAAAAGAATGGATGGGATGCAATGAAGCTGACGTGTCCAATGCCAGTGCTGACAGACACAGCGAGGCTCTGCCTCGTACATCAGAGTACCTCATCTTCACACGTACCCCAAAGTAAGTGGCAGCCCCACTTTAGAGATGAAACACTAAGCTTCACGAGGCCCAGGGAGTAAGGCTGACCACGTTTCTAACACAGGCTGCCCTCAGAGCCCACTCTCTCCAGGTAGCGGTCCTGCGGTCCTGCAGTCTTGCGTGCTGCTTAGACGGCTGGGAGCTCTCGCACTCCTGTGGCTGACGTCACTGGGACAGTGCCGAAGGCTGCCGTTCAGAAAGCACAGGCCGCAGGCTCGGCCTCTCTGTCAGGGAGACTGCGCAGCTGCCACAGAGCACATGACCACGCCATCTCAACTGTTCCGGAGCACTAAGAACTTCCAAGTCAGTGTCTGCAAAGCCAGCAGAATGCTGGTACCAAAACATGACACAGATGACATCTTCTCAATGAATCAATGGCCAGAGACGGACCAGTGTTAACACTAATATTTTTTAGAATTTTCAAGAGACAATCCAGTGATACATTACCAGACTATCCTGTCTCAGCCCAGAACTGCAAGGGTAGATATGTATTAGAAAAGTGTTATTAGTGTAATAAGTCGAAGGAGAAAAAGCAGGACGACCACACCCCCGCAGACGCTGAAAGCACCAGTAAAATATTCAATAGTGACTCCCAATTTCTTAAGCTCTTAATAAAACAGGGTTTAGAAAATATGTATCTCAAGACAAATAACAGCAACCTCAAGCCACAGGATGGCATCATATTTAAAGTAGAAACACTGCATTAAAGTAAAAATCAAGACAAAACCATCCACTGTTTTTTATTAACATTTTATGGAATTAACTACTAAAAAAAAGTCTGAAAATGAAAAGTAGCAGAATCATTTGCAGATGCTGTAACTGTGTATCAACAAAACACAAGAGAATCCATGAAAAAACTTGGAAACACTGAGATAATTCAATGAGATAAAAGATAAAAGCATCAGCTGCTTGTGTGTGTTTACATGGTGTTCGTTCTAAAGCAGGATGGAGAGCCGCCTGTGACAACAGAATGAACCTGGAGGATGTCATGCTCGGTGAGGAGACAAATGCTACGTGACCTCAGTTACACAAAGAGCCCCAACGAGCCACCTCCCAGAACCACAGAGACAGCTGCCAGGGCCTGGGTGTGGGAAGCAGGGCTATGCTGGTCAGACTGCATGTCAGGACGAGTGAGCTCTGGGACCTAATGTACAGCAGGCTGACCATAGTCAGTACTGTAGTATACGTGAAACATGCTAAGAGAACAGGTCTTTAGTGTTCTTATGACACACACAAAAGGTAAGTATGTGGAGATGGATGTGTTCATGAACTTGATAGTGGTAATCACTTATACAATGTACATATATTAAATCTTCACATTGTATACCTTAAATATATACAATTTTTTCAAGATTTTTAAACTTTATTTTTATTGTTGACACTATTACAAATGTCCTCATTCCCTGGACCTTTGCCCACCTCCACCCAGTACCCACTCCATCCCCTCTGGCCATCACCACTCTATTGTCTGTGAAATACATACAATTTTTATTTGTCAATTATACCTCAATAAAGCTGGGGAATATTTAAAAATATAAATATGACAGAAGTCCTGACTGGTTTGGCTCAGAGGTTAGAGCAACGGCCTGTGGTCCAAAGGGTCATGGGTTCAATTCCTGGTCAAGGGCATGTACCTCAGTTGCAGGTTTGATCCCTAGCCCTGGTAGGGGTGATGCAGGAGACAACCAATCAATGTGACTCTCTCATATCAATGTTTTTCTCTCTCTCTTTCTCCCTCCCTCCTTTCCACTCTATCTAAAAAATTCAATGGAAAAATACCCTCAGATGAGGACTAACAACAACAACAAATATATATATATATTTCTTAATTAAATTATCCCACACACAACCATTAGAGTAAATCTAACAAAAACCATGTAGGACCTTTGTGAAGAATATTTTATGTTATTACCGAACATGAAGAATTGACCAAATTGAAAGACACACCCTATTATTAGCTAGGAAGGCTCAATACTAAATAAATTGAGCTATTAATTTAATATGGGGGAACTAGATAAACTACTGTTAAAGTTGATCTGTTGCCCTGGCCAGTTTGGCTCAGCAGTTAGAGCGTCAGCCTGTAGCCCAGAGAGATCCAGGTTCGGTTCCTGCTAAGGGCGCGTACCTCAGTTACAGTTTGTCCCCGGCCCTGGTTGGTCCCGTGCAGGTGGCAGCCACTCAATGTGTCCCTTTCACATCGACGTTTCTCTCTCTCTCACTCTATCTGAACAAAAAATGGAAAAAAGTCCTTGGGTGAGGATAAAAAAAAAAAGTTGATCTGTTAGAGAAGCAAAGAGAAATCTGAAAAGGAATTGACTGAGGAGTGACTAGTGCTATGACATTAAAATGCATGAAAAGCTACAGTAATTAAAATTGTTTGGGTCCGGCAGGTGCGGCTCAATGGTTGGGTGTTGACGCCATGCACCAAGAGGTCACTGGTTTCATTCTGGTTAGGGCACACGCCCAGGTTGTGAGCCCTATCTCCAGTGGGGGGCGTGCAGGAGGCAGCCAATGGATGTTCTCTCTCATCCATGTTTCTCTCTCTCTCTCCCTTTCTCTCTAAAATCAATAAAGAAAAATAAATTATTTTTAATCGTTTGGTACAACACACAAAAGATAAATCTTAACAGCACAGAACCAAACACACAGGTTTGCTTTATCAGTCTATGATAAAGGTGGCATTTCAAGGCGTTGCGGGAAAGACGATGACTCAGTGATGTCAGGATCACAGGCAGTAGTTCCTGCCCTGGAAGCATCACAGACAACCCAACCCCAACTTCCTTCAAGTCTTTGTCACACCGGCTCAGTGAGGTCCCTCCCTTGTCACCCTCTGCAAGGTGACAGCACCCAAACCAGCCCTCAGGAGTCCCTTCCTTATTTATTTCGTCTACAACCCTTATCTCCAACAGCAGCCACCTGCTTCCTGTCTGCCCTCCTCACTGGGGCAAACTCCAGGAGAGCAGACATCGACCGTCCTGCTCGCGGTGCCCCCCATGTGGGGCACTCAGTAAACACTTTAAATGAGTGAAGGTCTTCTGTGGCATAGTCTTCAGCAGCCAAGTCCCCTCCACCTGCGCTGTGCGCTCAGCCCCACAATGTAGATGTGCTCAGAGCACGTGTACACCCAGACCCGGAGAGTGCGTGATGAGTACCCTAAGCCCCTTGCCAGTTTCTGGTTGGACAGGGGCATGTGCCCCCATCTTTGCCAATGGGACCCGAGTGCTGGGGAGATTTCTGAGCAAAAAGTTTCCCTCAATGCTGGGGGGAAAAAGACATGGGGGAGAACACCCCTGCCAAGATTTCGTCATGCCTCCCCATGATGCTCTGAGGGAACGTCAACACGGAAGGTGAAGCAAGCAAGCTCTGCGCTCTGGTACAGCAGGTGTATCATGGCGTTAACCAAGCTTGGACTCACTTTTCTAAACTAAACTCCAAGGGTTCCTTCTGTTTCTGGAGCAGAGATTGGCCTGGTGCGTGCAGACTTGCATAAGGACACTGGCGTCACTGTTATTTTTAGAGCAAACGGCTGTCCGGGACAGGCTCCCTGGAGCAGCCCAGCAGCATGCAGGTGGATGTCAGGCCCTGCCCCAAGAGGAAAGGCCACCGCAATGCACAGAACGGCCAGACGCAGCACAGCACCTGCCGGGGTGCACCGGCTCCCACACACCACTGCCTGCCTCCCGGAGTGACGCACACACGAGTTTGTGGTCAGGAATCACTTCCTAGACATAGTTCAGTGGCAACAAAAGTATTTATGATAAGCTTTAATTATATAATTCATTTTTTCACGTGCACACATACTTACATATGCGTAGACTACCTTTGGGGAAATAGTCAAGAAACCGGAACAAGATTGTGGAACTGGAAGGGATGACAAACTATTCATTATATACCCTCTTGCAAGCTGCTTGAACTCTTTTTATCATAAATTACCTTTTCATGAAAATTACAGTTTTTTCTATCCTCACGTAAGGGTAAATTTTTACTGATATTAGAGAGAGAGAGAGAAACATCGATGTGAGACACATCGATCAGTTGCCTCCTGTGCACACCCCAACAGAGGATGAAACCCGTAACCCTTCAGTGCATAAGACAACGCTCCAACCGAGTAACCCAGTGAGGGCTGAAAATTACAATTTAAAAAATTATACATGTCACTAAATTTTCATTTTTGCGATATAATTCTCCTTTTCTTGATTACATACTTTTTACTTTTTCTGATGCTTGAAACAATTCTCAGTAGATTTAATAACCCCTAAAATTATGTCACTAAACCAAATAAACAAATTAGAAAGACACATTTTTCATTTTTTTCCAAATTAACCTAAGTAACAAAATCACTGCAGTTCAATCTTAAGACAAATACAAAATTTTAAAAATTACACAAGGAATTATTTAATCTACAATTGCTTTTTGTTGAAAACAAAATTGAGCCAAGTATGCAAAGCACACTTAGCTATCCTTAGAACAGCCCAGTATTCACGGCCTCACACAGCAAGGGCACCTTGCACCTCCCAGTCCTCAGTGTCACCTGGAAACCATCAGGACCTTGTCAGTGACCTACAGAAAGGAAGCCATAAGAGAGTGCATAGGAGCCGTCTGCAAAATTGATAGGTCACTCCAGGTCACCCACAGCAACAACCTTCTTATCTCAAGTGTGCTATGTGTCACCGCAGACTCCTTGGACTCAACAGGCATCTACTACCAGGGAGTTTGTTTTCCGTCCTTACTGGAAACCACTCTCTTGTCCAATGTGACTTCCTTTCCATTTTTAGTGTCAGAAGCACAAGGAAATAAGACTCATGGTCAAATTGATACTTGTTCCCCTTCTTTTCCACCTCCTGCTCTTCCAGGAAGCTGCCCAACAGGACACCGGTAACCAGGGCCTCACGACCTGGTGACTCAGGCTGCAGCACAGAGGCAGGCTGAGGCCTGACTCCCCGGAGCAGCGCTGGGCCTGCCGGGTCACAGGAGCACCAGGAGGACGCGGACTGGGACTCACTGCGCACGCGCAGACGACACGGCACGTGCACACCTAACAGTTTCTTTTTGGCCACAGCGAACGATCCGACAACGGGAAAGTGAAGGACATGGGGAGAGGACACGTGGCTACTGTCTCTCCCGGCCTCTTGTGTCCAAAGAACTCTCCATTTGTCTGTTACCACAGGTCTGAAACCATGTGGTCAATGTTGGGACAGCATGAAACACGTACAGGCCGAACCTGAGGGAGTGAAGACGAGACGAAGCAGCAAGCGGGCGGCAGCACAGACCCACGGCCACTCGGGAGCGTGAGCGCCACTCCTCAGACACAGATCCTCCCAGAGCCCTGGCCACGTGTTACAGAATCGTGATGGATTCTGTGACACGTCTGCAAGCTCATAGAGCTTCTGAACCCCAGGCTGAGGGAAGGCAGTAAAATTGTGGGGGGGAGGGGACTAAAGATTTTTAAATATTAACATGTATTACTTAAATAATTTTATATTCCTGTACATTAACTTACAAAAATGCAAAAGAGAGGCCGAAAGCCCTAACTTCCGCCCGGACCCGAAATGCAGACCACATGGCTGGGACTGCAGCGGCTGACGCCAGCAGTCAAGGGGAATGCGAAGAGGAAACAGCGTTTCTGCTAACACGTCTTCATTAATACTACTGAAGAGCAAGGCCGCGCAGAGACACCAACCGTCACACAAGGAACGACACACGGGGACACGCGGGGACACGGAGAGCAGCACCTGTCCGTGAGTCTGGGACAGGAGAGGTGAGCTCCAGCGCGGCTGGGCCCTCGGCCCGTGCACACCAGCAGGGTAGGTGGCATCACTTACGGCCTGACTCAGCTGACACGCAAATAAGTAAATGGTGCGAGCTCCATCCATTTCAAAGCAGCGTATACAGGCCCAGGTTCGGCTTCCCATCTGGAGTGGCAGACCCCACTGAGCATTAAATTATTACCACTGCACAGGGACTCGGGTTCTGTGAAACCCACACCGAGATGAACATCAGCAAGGAGGCATTTTCCATGGGCGAAGTGCATTCTTTCCATTCCAGCTACACTAAGAACGGAATCCCAGACACCAAGACACCTATGTGGGGAAGAGGCAGCCCGGCCACACTCACCGTTTTCCACATAGGGATGGAAGGGCAAGACCAGGGCAAGGATGACCCTGCCTCTAGTTGGCTCCAGGACACTTCTGATATCTTTTAACAAAGTCAGGGGCTGATCACAGCGGTCCAGCAAATTCAAGCAGCTGATGACATCATACTGGAACCCTGTATTCTGCCATTCGTTTATACCGAGCACTCTGGAAAATCAGAGAGAACTGGATTGATCAAAAAACTCCCTTAAAGACAGATTTAAAAATATTTGAGTCAGTAAAGGCTCTAACTTTGTCTTCTAATTCAAAGTAAATTCAAAATTTTCATTTATGATCTACATTTGCAGAAGTAAAAGGGCTAGGCAAGAGAAAAATAGCTACCAAATTTTTTTTATTTAGCATTTCACCTATTTCCAAATCTTAAAACATATAAAAAAATTTTACAAGACTAATCATATGTTTAGTAAGTATGATGACATGGTGATAAAAATGACTATAAAACCAGAGCATCAAACTTCTGAACGTCGGTTAATGAACAAAGAACCCTACTTCCCACCGTCACTGGACTCTCATCACAAAACACATGTGTATGTTTCCCACTCCTAGGATCCCTCCTATTTTTAAGAATGGTTGGGGTGGCACAGACCAGTCCCATTTCCAACCCATAACCTTTTGAGCACATCTGCTCCCAGGATAGAGATACTACATCATACTCTAAGGTCTTCATATCTAAAGAGCTTTATGGAAGACAAAGCCCAGGACACCTACCAAGAGCATGGTTAACACACCGCTCTCAGCCCTCGATCTCTTCCTCTTCCTCAAAGAATATTTCTACTGCTTTACAACATTTTATCCATGGGAAGGGGGAGATCCTACATCAAGGGTCTTTGTTAGTGCCCGGCTGATATGGCTCAGTGGTTGAGCGTCGCTGGTGCACTAAGAGGTCGCTGGTTCGATTCCTGGTCAGGGCACATGCCCAGGTTATGGGCCAAACCCCCAGTGTGGGGCATGCAGGAGGCAGCCAGTTGATGTTCTCTCCCATCGATGTTTCTCTCTCTCTCCTTCTCTCTTCCTCTCTGTCTAAAATCAATAAAGAAAAAAATTAAGAAAAAAAATAGTCTTTGTTAGTAACACCATAATAGCAATTTTGTAACTTCTTCACTCCTGCTTCGTCATAGCCATCAGAATGTGGAAGGCGAGGCTGTTATGATAGATGGGGAAAAGAAGACAGGAAAAAGGATCTCCAGCCCTGGCTTGGTGGCTCAGTTGGTTGGAGCATCACCATACACCAAAAGGTTGCAGATTCAATTCCAGATCAGGGCACATGCCCAGGTTGCAGGCTCCATCCCCTGCTGGGTCTTGTGCAGGAGGCGAGTGATTCATGTCTCTCATATGGATGTTTCTTTCACTTTCTCTCTCCCCCCTCCCCCCCTCCCCTCCCTCCCTCTCTCTGTAAAAATCAATGAAAACTATTTGAGCCCTGGCTGGTTTGGCTCAAAGATTAAGAGTGTCAATCCTCGGACCGAAAGGTTCAATCCCTGGTCAAGGGCACGTACCTGGGTTGCAGGTTCAATCCTCGAGGCACCAATCGATGTGATGTGTCTCTCTCACATCAATGTTTTGTTTTTTTTTTCCTCTCTCTCCCTCCCTTCCTCTCTATATTAAAAAAAAAAAAAAAAAAAAAAGGGAAAAATATCCTCAGGTGAAGATTTATAAGAAATAAAAAGTTAACCACAGAACTGCTACATGACCCATCGATCCCACTTCTGGGCATGTGCACAAAAGAGGTGAAAGCAGGGACTCCGCCCACACAGCTCAGGGCAGAGACAGCCACATCCATTGGCAGGTCAGTGGTGCCAAGTGTGGTCTGCGTGTACACTCCAGCCTTAGAAAGGAGAGAGTTCTGCCCTGGCCGGTTTGGCTCAGCGGTTGGAATGTCGGCCTGCGGTACAGAGAGACCCGGGTTCGGTTCCCGCTAAGGGCACATATCTTGGTTGTAGTTTGTCCCCGGCCCTGGTTGGTCGTGCGGGTGGCAGCCACTCGATGTGTCCCTTTCACGTCGATGTTTCTCTCTCTCTCTCTCTCTCTCTCTCTCTCTCTCTCTCTCCCTCCCTCCCTCCCTCCCTCCCTCCCTCCCTCCCGCTCTATCTGAACAAAAAGTGGAAAAATGTCCTCGGGTGAGGATAAAAAAAAAAAAAAGGAGAGAGTTCTGATACTGGCTACAACATGGATGAACACTGCAGACACTATTTCTGAAATAAACCAGTCACAAAAGGACAAATAAGGTGTGATTCCTTTTATTTGAGTGAACTAGAACAGTCGAAATTGTAGAGACTGAAAGTGGAAGAGGGGCTGCCACGGGCTGAGGAGGGCATGGGGAGCCAGGGTTGAAGGGCACGAGGTCAGCACGGGACAATGAAAAGGCTCTGGAGATGGGTGTGGAGATGGGCACACACCAGTGTGAATGTGCTTAGCACCACTGAACTACACTTAGAAATGAATGAACAGTCAATGCTATGGTATATATTAACAATAAAAATTTTTTCATTAAAAAATCCAGAATGTCAGGTTCTAGCCAGGGAACAAGCCCCGACATCTGCTCTCTTCCTCCCAGCGCCCCAGCACTACCAAGGAGAGAGTATTTCTCTCTCAAGCTCCACTTAACTGTAATACGGAAAGTTTTCTTAGTTCCTACTAGTGGAACTAGTGGAACATTGTTTGTGATTCAGATCCTTTAAATAATATGCTCTCAAGAAGAAATATATCTAAAACCAAGAAACACACCCCAAATCATACCTGTATTTCTTCTTCTGAAGTTGCCATATCATCGTTTCAGACAGCTCAGTGGCATAAATTTCTTCAAAATGTGGGCTCATGATTTTTGTGACTTCTCCATCTCCAGCACCTAAGTCAAGAAGTCTGTGGGTTTTCCAGTCTGGGTTAATTCTAAGCAGTCTCTGAAACTGATCTGGGGAAAACACAAACATCGAGCCTCTTCCGAGCAACCTGGAAGAGAAGGACAAGAATGAAAGAGTGGATGCGAGGCAGGCACCGCCCGGGGACACAGGGCTGCTGAGGCTCAGCACCAACAGCATTTTGAATTCACAAAATCTTTACTTTGTATGATTATGTGATTAAAATATATATCATATTTGATAGGATTTATATGATGACTAACAAGCAAAGTTAGTAAAATAAGGAAATATTCCAGGTAGCATCATTCGTCTTTGAGGTTACAAATAATTCCCCAAAGGCGTGGTGCAAGGAGAGGAAGAAAAGATGGAAAGGGGAGAGAATGAGAGGGGGAGGGAAGAAAAAAAATAAACAAGAAAAGATGAATGTGAAGAATTTATAGGAAGGAAAGATGGAAGGAGTAATAGAAAACATGTTTATCAGATTAAACAGATTACAGACCAACAGAAACAGACCACAACACTAGCCAGTAACATTGAGTAGAACAACCAAATATGGAAAAAAGCCCTTATGAAACTAAACCATCAGTAAGGGAAAACCAGTTTCAATAAGACAGACTTTTGAGAGAGAAGAGAAAGGCGTGGTCCTGACACCAACGTGCACTGAGAAAGTGTATTCGTACCTGCATCAACTTCTATGCTATGCAATTGGCTGGGTCCTATTGTTCTAAAGATCCTAAAAACCACTCAAAACCATTGGCATGTTTTTGAAAAAAAAAAAAAGAGCCTGAGAGGAGTTAAAAGGAAAGCAAAGAGAGCCCTTGGAAAGAAGGCACGGATCATGCCGAGCCTCATGCAAGTGTGGAAATACACACACTCGATTAGCGCTGGCTTCCTAGCTCTCGGTGCCTGTGTGCAGGGCAGGGGGCCTCAGTCCTTTACCTGGCGTGGACCAGACCACAGAATGGCACCGGGAGCTGCTGCGGTGGAGACGGAGCCTGGCCGCCCACCGGGCCTCTCTGCAGCGGAAGCCCAGGCCCCAGGAACCAGTCTGAAAACTGCTGACCTACGAAATGGCAGGGCACTCTACCCTGGACACCACTTTCTGGAAATAAAAGGTGGTGGGCAAAACCAGGTTCAATACATCTGTGATACAGGGACTGGGAACATTCTGCAGCTTGGTGCTCCTGATAAGCCCAGATTCAGGAAAACATTTGAACTATGGAGTTCATATAACAGACTCCCCTCCCATTTTCCCACTAAGACCATAGGAGATTTTAACCAAATCTAATAGTGTATTAACAGTAAACCTTCTGCCCACAGCAATGCTAAAACAAAACGGGGGGCGGGGGTGCTCAAAGAAAAAACATGGCACGACCCATAACAACTGATAATCAGAGAAAACAATATCTAGGAAAGACAAGTTGTTTGTTTTAAATTTCTCTTATATTTTTTAAAATTGATTTTTAGCGAAAGAGGAGGGGGAAGGGGGAGAGAGAGAGAGAAAGAAACATCAATGTGAGATACATACACGCCCTGACTGGGGGATTAAACCCACAAACTAGGTATGTGCCCTGACTGGGAATCAAACCCGCAACCTTTTGGTATACAGGACGATGCCCCAATCAACTGAGCACCTGGCCAGGGCAAGACAAGTTGTTTTTAATCCTCAATTGTTCATATGTTCTAGTGGGAAAACAGGCTGCAGGGGGCAAACCTGAGAAAAGGAACTGGACTTACTGAAATAGTTACACAAAGTTTCCCACAGGAACCGGTCAGAGCAAGGAGGTTCCAGAGGTCACGGCAGCATGGCCGGGGATATATGTGGCAAGTGTCGGTGCTGACTTGCAAAAGTCAGTTGCAAAACAGTTCTTTGGCTTAAATTTTTCCAAAGAACATGCTGCCCTGGCCGGTTTTGCTCAGCGGTTAGAGCGTCAGCCTGTGGTCCAGAGAGACCCAGGTTCAGTTCCCGCTAAGGGCACGTACCTCGGTTGCAGTTTGTCTCCGGCCCTGGTTGGTCATGCGGGTGGCAGCCACTCGATGTGTCCCTTTCACATCGATGTTTCTCTCTCTCTCTTCCTCTCTCTCCCTCCCACTCTATCTGAACAAAAAATGGAAAAATGTCCTCAGGTGAGGATAAAAAAAATTAAAATAATTTAAAAATTAAAAAAAAATAAAAGAACATGCTTCCCTAGCCATCTCCTTGGGATGTAACAAACCTTGACAGGAAACCCTAAAATTCCAGAGCTGGAGGTCATCTGAGGTCAGAGCTCAGGAGGCCATCTCAATGGTCTGCATCTAGAGGCAGCAGAGAGAAGCAATGTCCTGCTTCCAAACATCATGACCAGCTGAGGCTCCACAGAAAGATTAAAAGTGTCAAAAATGAATCAACATTCATTGAGCCCAGTGCTTCTCAACTGAGACCAATTTTGCCCTCTAAAAATCATTGGAAGTAGGTGGTGGGCAAAACCAGAAAAGTCAGACTTCCTGTCATGTGTGGGACAGTCCCACACAATGAAGAATCATCCCACTTAAAATGCCAAGAAACTGACCTAGCTCAGCAGCAGGCTTCCAGCAAATACACACATGGAGAGATCTGGCTCGCTCATTTGCCTTTAATTTTTTTAAGTGTTGAGTAACTATCCTAGGCTCCCTGGCCCCGGTCTGAGCTCCTTCGGATTCACCACAGTCTGTGGAGGTGTGCCTCCTTGTAAATGCCTTCCTTATAAAATAAACGCCCACTCAGCTACCAAGTCTCTTCTTCCCTGGCCTTCTCCTTCCGTCACAAAGGAAGGCTGAGGTGCCTCTCGTCCTGAGTTCAAGAGGTGCCACAGTGAGTATTGCTGAAAGACACCACTCACGGCCACAGCCCGAAGCTGCATGGATGGACGTGCCCATGGGCTCGGAAGTGAGCTCTCAGCTGAGAATGAGGACACCGGGCAAGAGTAGGTTTGGTTTTTGTTGGGAAGGGAATGAGGTTGGAAAGAAGAAGAAGGCAAAGAGTTACAGATAAGGGAAGCCCAAAGGGATCCCCTAACTGCACTGCCTCCCTTTGACCAAACTGTGAGATTCCATAGCAGGGCTTGTAACCCAGCCCACTGCAGTGCAGGTGGGGGAAGTCACTCAGAGCCTGCCCTCTCCCCCAGTGTATGCACTATAAGGACTATGAAGAGAGGATTTCTACCTTTTATCCCTTTCATGGAGGTACAGGGCCCCGAAAAGGTTAAAAATCACTGTTACAGTGACTTGTCTGCTTTTCAATGGAAAGATACATGTAATAGAACAGAAATTCAATGCAGCCAGTTTTAGAAACAAAATGCCAGACCTGAGCTGTATAAATTCAACTACCAATACAAAATTAACAACTATTTGCTGAAGCAAACTTCAGTCAACTTCACGAGTAAGCAATGAAGAAATAAGTAAGAAACCTTGAGAAATGACTCAGGTGCCTGAAAGCATACTTAAGGACAGGTGGCAGACAGGGACCCAGGCACCAGCAGATGCTGGCTCCACACCTCACTGGAAAAGCCACAAAACCAGTAGCTTTAAGGACCCCCAGGCTTTTAGAGCACCGAGCTCTGCTCCTTTTCTCCCTGGCGTTCTGGGTTCTTGGGCCTTGGGATGTTTGAAAATGTGGCCAAGAAAGGATAAAAAAATTCCTAGAGCTTCTTCCATAGATTTCAACGAGAGAACCACTCTAGGGATAGAGAACTCCATAGTAAGTTTACAAAAGTATGCTGAGCCTAGACGTTACATAAGAGCACATACAGGACCTATACTTGAAACAAGCCATCACCGACGACTGGGTGAATTAGATCCCCCTAAACACTTGCTCCTGGGACATGTGCTCAAGGCCAAGAACAGAGTCCTGAGCCCAGCTATGAAGGGCGTGGGGTCAAGTACTGTGCTGCTCCCTCTGGTAAGTCAGCTAAAGCATCACCTGTCAGAAATGCCGAATCTCAGGTCCCACCCAGACCTACTGACTCAGAACCTGCATTTTAACCAGATCCCAGGCGACTCCTGTGCCGTCAGAGTTGGGCAGCACTGCTCTGAGCACCTCCCATCAGAGAAATGCGGACCGAGGTGAAGGAGGCCGTCAGTCTGGTCGCAGTGGACTTAGAAAGCTGAGGACAGAGGCTGGGACACTGGCTCTGTGCCCAGGATTCTGACCAGCAGAAGTGGTGTCCTGCCGAGGGGTCACCTTCCTGAACGGTCTCTTTTCATTTTCATTTTCTTTTTTTAAACATAAAGGTAAAGAAGAAACATCCATGATTCACTTACCCATTGATAGATGTTCTGGACATGAACAGACTGAACACAGACGACACGAAGGAGTGATACAGCTGGATGAAGAGCCAGCCCGACTTCTCGATGCTGTTGTTCAAGAAGATCTGTGTTCCCTGATCCAGGTAACTCTGAACAAACACAGCCTGCAGTGACTCACATAACTTCTCTCTGTTGCATGCATACCACTAAAAGAAAATGAAAACACAAAACTGAAGTGTTACCTGAGAAGTCCAGAAACAAACACAGAAGACTGAGTTAAATCTAAGATTTCCAAATATTATAATCTCATGGCACTATGAGGATCAACCTGTTCTATACTCATATAACCTATAAAGTATGAACTACTTCTTCATGGGTAATTTCTCATTTACTTCTCATAACCCCCAGGCAGGGGGAGAGCGTGGGGGCAGGGAGCGAGGTAGGCAAGCCATGCAGCTTAGCAGGCGGCAGAGCCAGGCCACAGTCCAGGCGTTCCGTCCCTGGCCTAGTACTCAGGCACTGTCCCCTCTGGACTCTGAGATCAGGGAAGACTCCACTGGCCCCTCCAGCACTGAGATGCAACACAGAAGCCATAACCAGCACGATGAACCTTGTTTTTAGGTAAGAGAACAGTCGCATGATGCAATGGTTGAACTGAAAACCACCAAACAAATCAATGGCAGAATGAGCAGCAACATTTAACCCTCCAAGGACCAGATTAACCTGCCTTTCTTCCTATAGGCTGTATACACACCTTTAAAATATTGAGGTGTGCTTTACCAGGTCCTACAACATTCTTACAGACAGGGCAAAAATGTGCTTGAGAAAGATTACGAAGTTACTTAAGGTCAAACTGTGATCAATAGAAGACAAAGTAATAACATACTAAGAACCAAATTTCCAGGAATACACTTTTCAGAACAAAATTCAAGAACTTCAACTGAGGAAGAAATTGAATCTCGCACAATCAATGTTTTTCATTTCGAGTTGGTGACCAGGAAAGGGGCGGGGGTTAGACCATTCGAGCATCAGCTGTAAAGTCAACCCCACAATCACATCCTGGCTCTGTCCTTTTTTTTTTTTTTTTTAATTGATTTTTAGACAGAGAGAGGGGAAGGGAAGGGGGCCATTGACTGGCTGCCTCCTGCATGCCCCCTACCAGGGACTGAGCCCACAATCGGGATTGGGAGTTGAACCAGCAACCTTTCAGTGCACGGGACAACGCCCAGTCAGCTGATCCACACCGGCCAGGGCTGGCTCCACCTTTCTTGCGTGTTCTTGTGCGAGCTCAGACAACTCACTTATTCTCTGAGCCTCCATTCATCTGCAGACTAGAAATGTTACTAGTATCTGTCCTGCTACTGAGGGGATTAAACAAGATAATGTGGGCAAATCCTCAGTCTAAGACCAGCCAAGAATCTTGAAATAATAATCACAATGAGATTCCTCTAACATGGCCTGATAAAGAAGGGTGAGCCCATTTAGTACAATGATGCAACCCATTGCTATTATTCCTTTATCTGCTAAAACACAATCAGTTTTTTCCCAATAAAGAGCCGAAAGTAACTTGTTTCCCCTGACAAATATGACCATTTGTCAGCTGTAGGTGTCCCACAACTGCTGGCACAACTAGTGGACCAATTTCATAGTCATTCTAGGCTTGCTAACTATGAAATGCAATCTCGGGTGGTCATGAACCAGTGCAGACAAGCAAACAGCACAGACATCTCAGACTGTGCATGGAACAGACTGCTGAAGCTCAGGGAGGGCAGGCAGGGCAGGAAGAGAACCAAAGAGCCTACAGGCATGTATGCACTGCCCGTGGACCCAGACAACAGGGCGGTAAAGGACTGGGGTGGGCGGGAGCCTGGTGAAGGGGCTCAATTGGGGGGGGGGGGCACGCATCTGTAATACTCTCAGCAATAAATAAATAAATAAATTTTTTAAATTTTTCAAAGATTGACTAATCTTTTTACAAACCCTGTACCCTGAACCAGATAAACCAAATCTTTCCAACTGGTAATGATTTGAGTTAATTCAGCATTTAAATACTTACCAAAACTGCCTGAACTTGAAGGCGAGCTTTGCTTTTATCCCTCTATATGACAAGCTCTGAGGCTTCTTACAGTCACAGCCTACACTTTTTCCCTTGGTCTAAAAATGTTCACCCTTAATTATTAACTATTTCTTAATATTCACTGTGTCTCAAGGTATGCCCAGTGCAGGTCATAAACCATTTATTTTTAATTCTCGTGACCTCCTAGTGCACATTTTGAACTCTGCAACACCAACGCCACTCTGACATTTATTTTTTATTCTCTGAAACAACTAATCAAGATGAAAGCCGTCTGCTTGGTAACAGGCAATCAGGTGCATTCTATTAATGTGGACAAGAAGTCATTCAGGTGAAACCGAGGGGTTAGGATAAAAATTCCTTGGCATCCACTGGTAAATGGAAAACTAGAGCAACAATGGACTCTGACTTCCAGAACTAGATGAGAAGTAGTAGCGTGAACTGCAAATACTGCTCTCAAATACCAAAGGAAAGCCCGAGCTTTTAACAGCATTTCTCCCCATTCATCAACATTAGCACACGTGGTTAGAGCTTCCCTGCTGCACGCGCCCTGCAGAGAAGAACCCGTTGACTGAGCACAGCGCGCTGCACCTCTCTGCAGGGGGAGCATAAGTCCACCTGCCTCCTGGCCGCCTGCGTGCCACCAATGTCAGCCCCATGGCAGCATGCTACAATCCCAAGACGTGGGGACAACCCAACGGCCACCGAATGATGGACACAAGATGTGATTCACCCACTCAAGAGTATATAGGGTGTCCCCAAAAAATATATACACACTTTGAATAATTATAAATTCCATTGGGTTAAATTTGAAGAGAAAGAAACATCAATTGAGCTATTAACTTTAAAGTGTGTATACATTTTTTGGGACCGTGTGTGTGTGTGTGTGTGTGTGTATAATTCAGCCATAAAAGGAAGGAAACATCAATTCATGCAATAACACAGATAAACTTTGAAAACATTATGCTAAGTAAAATAATACAGTCACAAAAGGCTACAAATTATATTATTTCATTTACATGAATTTTCCAGAACAGGCACACCCAGAGGCAGCAAGCAGAGGGTGCTGAGGGCCGAGGGAGGCCATGAGGAGCATCTGCTCGGGGCCAGGCATCTCGGGGTGATGGGAGTGCTCAGAAATCAGAGTGGTGCTGGGTGCTCAGCTCAGGAATGCACAGCCCTGAGACCCATGCAAGTATATCTTATAAAAGGACATGTTTTGTGGTAAATGAAGTTGTTATTTAAAAAAATACACATACAGCCCTGGCCGGTTTGGCTCAGCGGTTAGAGCGTCGGCCTGTGGTCCGGAGAGACCCGGGTTCGGTTCCCGCTAGGGGCACGTACCTTGGTTGCAGTTTGCCCCAGCCCTGGTTGGGCCGTGTGGGTGGCAGCCACTCGATGTGTCGCTTTCACGTCGATGTCTCTCTCTCTCTCCCTCTATCTGAACAAAATATCGAAAAATGTCCTCGGGTGAGGATTAAAAAAAAAAAAAAAATACACATACACACATCTAGATTTTCATCTTCCAGAAATAAAAAGTATTTTGAATTTTTAAGTGACCAAGCAAACTTCTTTAAAAATGCAAATTGTCAACACAAATCTGATCCTGTCACTTCCCTCCCACCTGGTGCCAGGCACCTGGACGAGCACCTCCTGTCTCACTCACCCTCACTCACCGCCTCCCGACTTCCGAGGATGGGCAGCCTAGAGCCCTGCAGCAGCTCCAGCTGATGCGAATTCCTGTTCGAGGTACATGCTGTTTTATAAGAAGTTTCTCTCAAGGAAGCTTATCTTCACCTCCACCCAGTGTGTCTGCTTGAGATTCACTCTCGGAGAAGTGCAGAACTGCTCTGCCTATTAAACCGGGCTGGATGTGTTTAGAGAAAAGAGTCTGATCTAGATAGCACGTAATTATTATAGGACAGGGTTTCTCAACTTAACAGTACAGTATCTGGGGAGGATAATGCTTGTCATGAGGCCGTCCTGGGCACTGCAGCGTGCCTCTACCCACTGGATGCCAGTAGCACCCCCTCATTGTGACAGCCAAAATGTCCCAGACATGGCCAAGTGTCCCTGGGAAGGCAGAATCCCCACTGCTTAAGACCCTACACTGACTTTCCAGTCATGTTTCCTAACTATCTAAGCTTAACAGTGGTCTCAGGAATCAGAAACCAAGAGAAACGAGCAGTGGGATTATGACCTTGCCCTTAAGTGAGATCTGCAACCTTGGCAGCTGCCCTGGAGTTCCCTCTGCTAGCCCAGCTTCAGCGGGAGGCTATGAGCCGCAGCACAGGGTGGCCTGTCAGCAGGTTCTGTGCACTTTCATGCAGGTGAGTTCTCTGAATTTGTGCTCCTCAAAGACCAGAAGACCAAGGTGTGCAGATAAGAACATTGTGTTTGTTAAATTTTCACACTGGAAGGACCGTGTGCCAGGCTGGACTCTCCAGCTGGAGACTGTAGGGTCTGAAAATGTTTCATCTTGGCATCTTACTTTAAAGCTCACTCCAACTTTGTTCAATCCAAATAAGTAAATCTTTTAAATAACAAGCTCTAATCAACCCAAAGTTATGCTATGCAGTCATCTGCTGATGCCATGTATTAAGCAGGATGTGATTACTAAACATATATCTTCTAAAAATGACGGCAACCGGCAGCATTCTCCCTACTTGCAACAAGTCTGCAAAGACACTAATAATGAGCCAAACAATAGCCAAATCAGGTAGACAGCAGGAGTTCTGGGTGTGTGCTGGATGGAATTCACCAAAGTAATGAAGTATTGATTGGTGAATCACTCCTTCAAAGTAGAAATGCAATTTTCCCATAAAATTATATTTGCTTGTCAGACTCAGGGACAGAGTTAAAATTTTTCTGCAATTGTTTTTTTGGAGTTCCTCAACTAGTCAAACATGAGCTGTATGACATAATGGTCTTTATGCCAAAATATAAAGGATGTGAGCACATCAGTAGAACTAAAAAATTATTTTTAAAACCAACTTCCTGATTTTTAGTAATGTGGTAAAATAAAAAATAAATATTTGGTCTTTATGCCTGGTTCCAGGCAAGTAGCCCCTCAAACCTCTTAAGTGATATGAGCAACTTCTGTAAGCCAACGAGACGGAGGGTAGGACGTTC